CTTTTCTTTTTGGCTTCATTTATTTTCTTCCTTCCCTTTTTTGTCTTTTCCTTTTCTTTTGCTTCATTTTATCTTCCTTCCCTTTTTTGTCTTTTTCCTTCTCTTTTTGCTTTTCATTTATTTTCTTCCTCCTTTCTCTTTTCTTTTGTTTTTCATTTATTTCTTTCCCTGTGTCTTTTTTTTCCTTCTCTGCTTTCATTTATCTTCTCCCTTTGTGTCTTTTTTTTCCTTTCTTTTTGCTTTTTCATTTATTTTCTTTCCTTCCTTTGTCCTCCTTCTCTTTTTGCTTTTTCATTTATTTCTTTCCTCCTCCTTTTGTCTTTTTCCTTCTCTTTTTGCTTTTCATTTATTCTTTTTTCTGCTTTTCTTCTTTTTTTTTCTGGTTTTCTTTTCTTTTTAATTTTTAATCATTATTTTTTATTTAGCCACATTAGGGGTGGTGCGCAAGTGTTAAAGTTCACATATATTGCCCGTGTCCCTCTTCCCCCCTTTTAAAATTTCACCTTTTTTTTTCCCTTTTTCTTTTATTCTTTGTTTTTCTTCCTCTTTTTTTCTTATTTATTTTATTTTTATTTATATTATATTTTTGGCAGACAAAGTCTCGCTTTATTGCCGGCTGGAGTGAGCTGCCGTGGGCGTCCAGCCTCACTTCACAGCGCCTCCGAGCCTGGCTCCACTGGATCCTCCGCCTCGGCTCCCTCCCGAGTAGCTGGACGACAGGCGTGCGCCACCACCTCCGGCCTTTTTTCTCTGTATATTTTTTATTGTCCAACTAATTTGTTTCTACTTCAGTAGAGACGGGTCCGCTCATGCTCAGGCTGCTCCAAATCGCTGCACCTCGAGCGATCTCCTGCCTCGGCCTCCAGAGTGCTGGGATGACAGCGTGGGCCTTAGCCCAGCTCTTTTTATATATGTATTTTAGTGGCCAATTTAATTTCTTTTTTTTAGTTAGAGACGGTCTTCGCTCTTGCTCAGCTGTCTCGAATCCTGACCTCGAGCGATTCCTCCCGCCTCACCTCCTTTCTAGTAGCTGGGACTACAAGCATGAGCCCCTTGCCTGGCTAAATTCTATTATATTTTTAGTTTCCAAGCTCATTCTTCATTTTTAGTAGAACGGGCGGTCTCGTCTTGCTGGCTGGCCTCCAACTCCTGACCTTGAGCGATCCTCCCGCCTCCAGCCTCCCTTCTCTAAGTAGCTGACTCCAGCATGCGCCACCACGCCAGGCTCCGTTTTTTTATATATTTTTAGTTGCCAATTAATTCTTTCTATTTTTAGTGGAGGACTGGATCTCTCTCTTGCTCAGGCGGCCTCCACCTCCTGACCTCCATCGAGCGATCCTCCCTCCTCGGCCTCCAGAGTGCTGGGGTGACAGGCGGGAGGCACCAAGCAGGCGCTCTTGTTTTTATTTTATTTAAGACGCTAACATAAGGGATCCAGGCGACGCGAAGCCAGGTGCCCAACTGCAAGCTGTTCAGGTGTTCCTGCATCAAGTTTTTTCTCTCTGCATTTTTTCCACACTCTTCAATAAACCCAAAGCCAAAATTAAAGGGCAAGAAATTCAAAAAGCGCCATTTAAGAACAGAAATCAGTTATCGAATGGGGAGGTGACAGAAAACTGTCTAACAGGCAGAGAACTCAGACCCAAAATATATATCAAAGACAAATTAGGGGCCGGGCTCGGAGCTCAGGCCTGTAATCCCAGGCTCTCTGGTGAGGCCGAGGCGGAGGATCGCTCGAGGTCAGGAGTCGAAGGGGCCAGCCTGAGCAAGAACGCGAGACCCCGTCTCTACTATTAAAATAGAAAGAAATTAATTGCCAACTGATATATAATATAAAAAAAAAAATGAGCCAGGCGTGGAGGCGCATGCCTGTAGTCCCAGCTACTTTGGGAGGAGGCCGAGGCGGGAGCTCGCTGGGAGGGCCAGGAGTTGGAGGCCGCTGTGAGCGAGGCTGACGCCACGGCACTCACTCTAGCCTGGACAACAAAGCGAGACTCTGTCTCAAAAAAAAAAAGACAGAGACCCCGTCTCTACTGAAAGTAGAAACAAATTAGTTGGACAATTAAAAAATATACAGAGAAAAAATGACCCCGGCGTGGAGGCGCATGCCTGTCGTCCCAGCTACTCGGGAGGGAGGCTGAGGCAGGAGGATCGGTTGAGGCCAGGAGTCGGAGGCTGCTGTGAGCGAGGCTGACGCCACGGCACTCGCTCCAGCCCGGGCAATAAAGTGAGACTCTTGTCTCCAAAAAAATATAAAATATAAAAGAAAAAAAAAATAAAAATAAATAAGAAAAAAAAAAGAGGGAAGAAAACACAAGAATACAAAAGAAAAGGGAAAAAAAAAGGTGAAAATTTTAAAAAGGGGGAAGGAGGACACGGGCAATATATGTAACTTTAACACTTGCACCACCCCCCTAATATGCTAAAATAAAAAAAAATAAATAAAAATTAAAAAAATTAAAAAAGAAAAAGAAAACCAAGAAAAAATAGAAAAGAAAACAAGGCAGAAAAAAGAAAATAAATGAAAAAGCAAAAAGAGAAGGAAAAAAGACAAAAAAAAGGGGGAAGAAAGAAAATAAATGAAAAAGCAAAAAGAAAAGGAAAAAAAGACAAAAAAAGGGGGAAAGGAAGAAAATAAATGAAAAAGCAAAAAGAAAAGGAAAAAAAGACAAAAAAGGGGAAGGAAGAAAATAAATGAAAAAGCAAAAAGAAAAGGAAAAAAAGACAAAAAAGGGGAAGGAAGAAAATAAATGAAAAAGCAAAAAGAGAAG